GGACTCTAGATGCCAGCGAATAGCAAATGAAATTGAGACAAGGCACTATCGGATCGATAACCACAAATATCTGGTTTTAAGACAAATTCTTCAAATTTCACAATTAGTTTGCCTTCCCTCAGATAACTTACATCGGCGAAGAACTCACGCTATAACTATGCTGCCAGCAAATACTAAATAAGGTAGACTTTGTTGTAGAAAATTTATAGAACATCCATCGAGTTCTCTTATTCTAGATTTTTACGATGCCGATACCATAACACTCAGCTTACACAAGCTAAATGTCAAATAGAAATGAAAATAAAGGAAGCAGTAAAACTACTTAGTGTTAAAGTTGCGTAATTTCAGATGCCAAATTTATTTAGGCATAAGACAAATTAGCGCCTATTAAGCGCAAAAGTTCGAGTCCCGTACATGAAAATCAATAAAATTATTACCCAACTGTCTTCGAAACTATTTTACAACAGAAATGAAGTAAGCATAGTGACGCAAACTGAAACATGAGCACACGAGATAACTTAGCTTTTATAAAAAGAAACTTCCATATTTTACAAACCACTCTGTTTGCTTATTACAATATATATTCAAACTTTTAAATGCTCATATCAAAACTGTACTTACCGAATACATAATAGATAACCATTTTTGTTGACAAATGGACTCTATAATTATAAAGCAGGCTCACATACGAAATTATGGCTTGGACAGTCTAAACAGGGCCTTATTCCTTCTCAAATCCTAAGTTCGAAGACTTATGTATCTCTTGATCACTAATAGAGGAATGCAGGCAGCAAATTAATATGACGATGAGAAATCCTACTAACGTTTTTTTTCAAAACGACAAATTTACCTGAATGGGCTTTGAGACGGCCACCTTATTACCTCCAACCACTTTGGTTGGCAATGCTGTTGTCGGTGTAGACACAGCAGCATTTTCAGCCGAAGCAGTTGCAGTAGTACGAGAACCCACAACTACCGACCAAGCATAGGAAGAGGACGCAACGGGGACGGCGGAATTTACAGATCCTATAGAAGAAACAACAGAAGTCGTTGGTAGAGTAACTTTAGTTGTCGACACAGACTTGGCATTTCTCTGTTGCTGAGCAGAAGCTAGGGCAGCTGCTTTTTCATTTATGGTCTCCTGAAGAGGCTTTAACCAAGCACTTGGAGGGGGGTTCTTGGAAGGACCGACGGGTAGAGCCTTCTTTGTTACACCGTTTTCAGCTGAAGACTTGGTCCAGGAAGTAGTTGTTGTAACATTGGCAGAACGAGTTTGTTGTTGCATATCCTTTTCATCGCCCTTCTTGGAAATGACTGAGCACTTTGAATGTTTCTGCTGATCAGATGTTGCTTTCGAAGTCCCCTGAACGCGCGACTTGTTCGTGGAGGTTGTGTTTGCAGTAGCATCACGGCTAAAACAAAGAGGGATGAAGTAGCCATTAAGACAGTAGGAATCTAAAACTGCTACTCTCATCTAATTTGGATGTTTGCAGCGAAAACAAGCAACAGTTTATCACTAGCAAAGAACATACCTTTCTTTTCAGTATATATTATACTTAGTTAACGGTCCACATATAGCTTTTCATAAAACTACTGTTGACACACGAATAAATAATAAATTGATAAACAAGTCAGTGTTTACATAATTACTCTATTCAAGTTAATTAAAAATGTGAGACCAAAAGACATTTTCATCTTCAATGAGTTACACAACATCATGTCTCGATTTGCGCTGCCAAAATGTCATCGTTATTCGTTTGCAGAAGTGCGGACAATTTCACTACAAATACGAACCAAGTCCGCTTTCAAGACCGGCAAGCCCTAAAATCGGATAAAAAGCACTTAACTTCTAAACTTCAAATTTAAAAACTAAATATCCCCAAAAAATCTCGCGAGTATGCTGTGCTAGCTTGTATACATAAGTGACACAGTAGTAAAGTTCATACTTTAGCTATACAAGTGTTAGAACCATCCAAAAGAGAAACTGGTATGGAAGGTTTTAAAAGCCGTCTTATGCAAATATAACCATAGACACCTTTTAGATTTCCCATTACTCAATTTGTCTTCATTCGAAGAAGATGACTTTAGACTCTTTTGCTGTTGCTTAGCCCTCTGTTGTTGTCTCCTCGCTGATTTCGACTTGACCTCTTGAAAACCATCCTCACTAGAATCAGTAGAGCTTCCAATGGTGCTTTGTTCCTCCCCGACATTCGATTCCGCAACGTCTTTTTTCTCCCCCTTGGCGTCAATTTTTGTCGACGATTTCTGAACCTGAGGAGGAGGAGGCGGAGGGGAGGGGGGAGGTGAGTCTAAAAAATTTGGATTGTTCACGAAAGAGGGAGGTGCCTCTGCATTAATTGACATCAAGGGGATAATCTTCCCCATATTTGGAGCTGAATGCATTGCTCTTTTTCCTCTCTGTATTGTAATGGGTCTTTTCCCATAAGTATCTGCACAATTAATGAAAAATAACATTGAACTCCGCATAGAATAAAGGAGGAGAGGGGGGGGGGAATATGAGTGTGGTGTAAGACCGAATGTTTCAAGCCTGTGCGACCTCGCGTTCCGAGACAAAACCACAAAGACTTACCGTTATGTTCGATGATATTATCATCATCGTTATCGTTGGTTCTGACCGTGGCGCAGTCAGCAAATGAACAGCCAGGTGAGGTGCCCATGAGAGATGAGCTGAACCCTTCTGAAGCCGTCTCCCATACGTCGCCTACATCACTTGCCAATGTTACTAGAAGCGCAAAGTGTAAGAGAGTAAAGTGAAAAGCCCGCACATTTCTCCACCCAAACACATGCTTCCCCTCACATGCAGGAGAAACAGATTACCATCTCTCTATCACATGCGTCACAACATACATGCGCGCAAGTCGCCAGGCTTGACAGAATGTGATGGGAAAGGGAAGAATTAACTGTGGTTGTGAGTGAGAGCTTACCTGAATGAGCATGACTTCGGGATTTACTAGATCCAGTACCGAGCGCGTCTAAGTTTCCACTTTGTTGTTGGTGGTTCTGTTGTTGACCCCCTCCTGACTCATTACTGCTACCATTACTAGTGATTTCCCCCTTATTTGTAGAAGAGTGCTCAGTTGTAGTGACAGTAGTAGTAGAAGTTGCAGCGTTGTTGTTACTATTACTGGAAGTTCCATGGTTGTCATTATCGTCATCTGGATGTCGACGGGGATTGTTGTTCTGCTGATTGGCACGGGGCTGATTTTGGTTGACACGATGATCTCGACGCTGAGCAGCCGCTTGACGTTGGGATCCCGCGTGAAAACCTCTATGACCTCTGCCTACTCCACCTCCTCCTCTATGAGGTCGTTGAGAATGGTGGGTTTGAGGGGTGGAACTTTCGGGTTGCTCAATGTCAGATTGGGCAGCGTTTGTATCCAGCTTTTCCGATTCCTTTTGCTTCTGAGAAAAGAGAAATAAGAAAGTGATAACTATATCAGAAAGCGTAAGTCTATTTCGGAGGCAGGAGGCAAACGATGTACTTTGATGACATCTGATTAAAATTTAACTGGAAGGTTGGCAGTCTGCAAGTTTTTTTCATAGTGTGGCTAGAGGATACATTTCCCCCTACCATAGTTAAATCTATAGTAATCTTTCTAGCAATAGCATACGGTCTTAGCAAAATCGATTTCTCGTCATATCGTTACTCATCGAAAAAAGTGGGCGGTAATAAAAATATAAATACTATTAAAGTGGAGACACAGCATTGGTATGGCAATAATTGATTTTTGATATCTCTATTTGAAAGGGGAATCATAATAAAATCGCATCAAAATCGTTTCACTCAACCCTTTTCGCTCACTGGAAGTGACAGAAGATCACCGAAAAGGTAATTGGTAGAGCAACACATACATTTGATAAACTATAGGAAACGTTTAAGGAAATATGGATCAAAAACCAACCCACAGATAGGGCGATGTCCATAAGAGTATGAAGGATAGATAAACTTAGAAATACAATAGGATGCGAAGTGTCTTAATCGGTGCTTTAACGCCCAAACCTACTAGACAAGAGCCTCCATATGGGTTTGGAGGATTACAAAGAAGGCCTACTCGGATATAGAGCTATGAGCCTAATAGTTAATGAGTTATAATAATAGTTCCTATTAGTTAATAGAGTTAATGAGCCTCATCGTCGATAAAATCGAAGAAATGAAATTACGCAGCGGCGTCAGAGAAATTTCCCGAAAAATAAGTTACAAACCGAATGGTTAAACAAATAATACATCTTCCCAATCAAACGGTCTCACGTCGACCTTCCCACAATCCATTTAAAGGAAGAATTAAACATCTCTAAGAAATACAAGATCAACTAATTGTTACACTTTAACAGCAAAAAAAAGATTGGTTGACTACACCTCATTAAGAGAAACAAAGCTAAGTTATACCTATCACCATAAGAAGCAATCATGAAAGGTTTGCTTTTACACAATATATGGGATCCAGTTCACAACCTAAGATTACAAATAGGGACTGTAAAAGAACGAATGAAACGCCACATATCAGAACGCCCACCTTAGACTAGATATTAGATTTAATAAGAGTGCTGTTAGAGGAAAATGTGGAAAGAGCAAGGTGTATCCTCCAGAGAAGAATCCCGAATCTGACAGTCAGTATCATTTAATGATTAATGTAAGTAGAAAAACAGTCCTTACTGAAGTAATACAATCTCCCGAGGAATTATCTTCAATCTCACGCGTTTGCTTGCGCTGATTGGTGGAGAAATTACCACGAAGGGAAGATTTTGAGGTGCCATCATTACCATCGAACCGACGATAATTTGGACCAGATCGGGAGAAACACTTCCGACTAAGTCCACTTCCAGCCGAAGCGATGGAATTGGCCTTATCAGAAACTCCACCACTTTCGCCACCTTGAAAATAATTATGGGGGAAATAAAATTATTCTAGCAAACACAATAAAGATAAAAAAAACATTCAAGTGCATTCCACTACAGCAATAGTGTTGCCAGTAATGATCGGAATTGAGGATGTCTGATCTGAACTTAGTACATCAAGGAATACTAGACGTTTGGATCGTGCAATAGGGTCATTCCGAACACTGTTGCCTATAGGAGTTATATTCATAAATGCAAGCTCTTTTCCTCTCAACCATTATTGCATCTGATATAATTTACAAAAATTAACAGAATTCACGAACATTCGAGTAGAATTTAGATAAACTACTAAATATGTAATCACAAGCTCTTTCATGGACAAAAGATACACATATTATTAGCTGATTTGTACCTACAATACAGTTGTTTAATAAATTATCCCATTATTGAAAAAAATTGGTTTGTATCAATTTGTTAGTGAAATATTTTGTAGCCGGACCATGACGTCAACTGGAGGCAGAGGATAAAATTACCCTCAGCAGACCTGCATTCAGATCAGATTCCTGTTTTAAAGGGCCTTGAGAGGACAAAAGTATGCGTGAAATAAACAGAAAATTCTAACATCAGGATGCTTAAAATTGCATAAAAAAGCAAGGATGCAAAGGACGAGATTCAAAACAGGCTGATTAGGACCGATTTCAAAAGAATGACAATGTACAAATTTCCGAAATAATTTCTCCCAAAGACACTATAATGAACTCAGAAATGCATCAAATCACCTTCCATTCAAAGCGTCTGAAATGAAAACATCAAAATCAAGAAGAAGGGAGCAACAGTGGCAATTCAAAGCGACTGGTCACAAAATGTTCAACGAAAGTTTCCGGAGAAACTGAATTACGGTTTTTAGACGAACCCGAGATAGGAGAACTACGAACAAGGTGCAGCAAAAGATAAATTTCAATAAAAAGTCCCGAATGTATGACTGCATAAATTGCATTTAGGACTCATAACCCAATAAAATACCTTGAAAATAAAGTCAAAAGACGAAATATTTTCGAATTATAAAACTAATTCAGTTCCTATGGATGGCATAAGATCATGGAGAACTATTGATTAAAATAAAAACATTCGAGTAAAAAGAATATTCAAAAAATTTAGTTAAGAAACGCTAATAACACGAATAAGGTTCAAAAATTCTACATTCCTTCACCAACAAAGTTCATAAATGCAAAATCGACATGTCAGATGGTAGAGCTGCCACATACAAATATAAAATCATTTAGCATATTACAAGGAGGATGATTAAACATACCGTGACGATTGCTTTTATATCCACCGCTCTTCCACTTTTCTCCATGCTCATAATCTGTGCCACTTTGCTTGTTATCATCTTCATGATCTCTATTAGAACGAGGCAAGGCCCCTCCTCTATTGCTACCTCCTCTTGAACGTTGTTGAGATCGGAGAAAGGTACTATCATGCTCTCCAGTACCATACTGTTGCCTTCTACCATCTTCATAGGATTCTTCACCCTCCCCTTCTGTGTTTGGCGGGCGAGGTCGAAATTGACGCTTAGAACCACCGCGTCCACCAAGTGGTCGTCCAGTACTTGGTGTGAATCCACCACAATATCGTCTCCCTTGATCATCATAGTGCTTGGTTCCGCCACCTCGACCGGATTTAAAAGGCTTTGTGTAGGTCCCATGAGAAGCGTTCTCAAAGACCTCCTCAAAGTCCTTTTCACTCCACTTGCCCGACAATGAAACTTCCATTAAGGGTGTAATGTGAGAGGTAGAGGGTTGTGCCGATTGTGGTTGCCGAGACACAGTAGTCGAGGTTTGGGGACAAGAGGAGGAATCAACTACAGGAGGCACAGTAAATGCAGTTATTCTTGTGCCATCAGAGTGGGTTGAAATCTGAGGAGCATGGCCGCCTAGTGGTGCTGAAAGGGAATTCAGCAAATCCTTGCCTCCACCTGCTTCGCTGTCTAATCTCTTTTCCAAAATGGATGAGTTGGACTGTTGCTGTTGAAGTGGTTTAGAAGGTGGTTGAAAGCTATTTAAGTGATTGACAGAAGTCTCACTTCCCATCGGATTAGCAAAAGAATGCATTACACTCTCAACAGGATGATGGTGATGATGAGAGTGTTCAGGTTTTGAGATTTGTGGCTGAGGATATACAGTAGTGAAGGAATCTGTCTTAAAATAGGCCCCTTGGTTAGTGGGTGGAGGCGCCAGTTTGGGAGAGTTGGAGAGGGGGTAGGACGGATGCATGAATTGTTGACTGTTAGATGGAGAAAATGAGCCATGTGGATTCCAAGTGGAGGCAGAAAGGGAATTCGATAGATGGACTTGGGGTTTCATCGCTTGATGTGACGGGACAAATCCATTACCCATCATATTCGGCAATCCACCGCTGTACAATGAAGCAAAAACTGGTTCCACAGTATGCTGAGGCGAGTGGTTTACAGGAGGGATAGTAGAAAAGGGAGAGGGGCCATGAGGAGTGTGCATAAAAGTTTGAGGAAATACACTAACGTCTGTTAGAGGACTTTTAACCGAATCCATTGACTGGTCATTTCTTTTAGAAGTGGGTTCTAATGGCACGGACTGCTGCTCATCGCTTCTCTTTTTCCTCGCCATCTGAGCTCTATTCACAGCCGACTTATAAGCCAGTGTTCTCTCTTCTCGTTGAGCTTGAACTTGAGACTCAGTGGTATTGGTAAAAGATGACCGTTGGAGTTGTTCATTGAGAAGTGAGGCATCAGTCACACGGGAAGAAGCCAGCATGTCTTCGGGAAATAATGCGTCGTTACGAGGAGCACAGAAGGATGAAACTGGGTAGGATAACTGTGGTGACATGGAAGACACAGGTAAGAATGATGAATGAGGCTGTTCCCAAGCAGCTCGTGGAAAAGAGACTTGAGAGGTGGTGTCTAAGGATGGTTTTGTCCAAGGGGTGTCAGATACCGAGGCAGAAGACGGTAGGGGCTTGATTGGGGAAGAATGCTCATTTAAAGATTCTGAAGGAAGTTTTTTCACAGGTTCTTCAATAGTGTCCTTGCTGACAGCACTATCATCATCGTCCTCGCTAAAAGCAATTCGTTCCTGAAAATCAGGTTCTTCTGATGCTACCGATGCCCAACCACTACTTCGTGTCGTTGCAACAGGCTTAGAAATCGGAGTGGGTGATGGTGATCCCTCTTTACTTTCCTCAGCGCTAGAATCAGTATCTTGCGCTGTAGTAGAAGCCTAAAATTCCCATAAACAATTTAATATCACTAGCTTACACAAAGTACAAAAGTGAGATGAGTGTGAAAAAAAAACTAACCAATGCAGTCGGCCGTTGATAGAATGGAACCATTGGAGCTAGATTTTTGCCAGAAAGGGGTCTAACGATTTCGGTAGAAAGATCTTCAGGGGGCTTAACTACAGCCGTTTGAGAACGCAATTCAAAAAACGCTAAATGTAAAGAAGAGCATTAAAAGGTAAATGAAACTCACGTTTCTGAGGAGGTTTAACAAGAGGAATTTCTGAGTCATCTACAGAGCCCTTGCCCTCTTCTGCATTATTTTGAGGGGAACTTTCAGTAATACTTTTGAGAATAGAGGAAGAGGTTTCATTTTGCGTTTCCTTGAGGTCTGTTTTTGAGGGACTGGATGAGGATTCGATGTTAGAAGTCGATGAGCCGGTACCCCAACCGGAACCACCGGGAGGAACGATATTTACTTTGATATCCTGACCTCCCATCTCGGCCTTGATGCTTGGTACCCATGGTGGAGGAGGAGGATTGCAGCGAGTTTTTTGTAGTTTCCCAACAACCTGATATCCGCTAGTTCGAATAGCTGTCAACGAGAATTGAGAAAGGTTAAAGAAAAGAATAAATTAGCAAAATAAAATAAAATACTTAATAAGTTCTGGCAAACTTGAAGCAGGAAACTAGAGACTTATTATATTAAATTTATCTAAATATATAAATTTACTTGGTCTAGACCGAATTTCGCTTGCATTGCCTTTGTAAAGCAGATTAATGTTTGATTGTGCAAATTTTCCTTTAGGCTTCTCAGTTCTTGAAAATTTAGTGTTCATTCTGCGAATAAAAAGTTAATCACACACAAAAATGGATTTTATGGAAAAATTTTTAATTATTTTAGTAAGTAAATAGAAAGTATACGAACAACGTACCCAGATCTTACAAAAATGCCTCCGTTTAAACAATGGAGTCAGTATATTTAGGTGGTACAAACAAATACCAGATGTGATTCTAAAGATTAAAGATCGGTTTATTGTAAAATGAAGTCTTATTCAAAAATCGTTGAGTTACCTTTTTTGGTTAATATTTGTCATCTTTTCCTTATTTTATCACATGAATTGTCAAGTATGGTTTCTTTAATAATCAGGAATATATAAATATAAATAAAAAATAAATTTTGAAATTTAATACAACCATAATATTAGAAAACTTCTTGTATACAGTTGTCGTATGGAAAAATGAGATATTAATATTTAAGTCCATAAATTAGATAGTGTTTTTATAACTAACTGATTGCGAATATATAGATCTAAACAGTATGTTGTACTAGATACTGTATTATTTATTCCATTCGCTTATCAGCTGTTGACGTGTAGGGGCTATATCTAACCGTGGCAAAATGTATACCCTTGTTCGCGGGTTCTGTCGTCGTATGGTTAAGAAAGATGAATATTCTGTACTAATCTTGGGTCTAGATCAAGCTGGAAAAACAGTATTTTTCGATTGTTTCATCAATTTCAGACTTATCTTGAGCAAGCCAAAACAAAGTTCAATGAAAATTATAGATCGATGCCTTTGCACAAAATCACCTCAACTGTGGGATTGAATAGTAACGTACTTTATCTCTTTAATCATTATGTTTAGTTGGGCAAATCGCACTTGAAGGTATTGTCTTGAAATTTTGGGATCTTGGTGGTCAAACTGAGCTGCAATCACTTTGGGATAAATATTATATGGAATCCCATGGGGTTATATTTCTAATTGATTCTTCTGACCCGGGTCGCTTTAATGAGTCCAAAGAGGCTTTTGGTAAAAACTCATTTTTAAGCCTTATTTTTTCATTAGATAAAATGATTCAAAATCACGCACTAGAAGGTGTTCCACTTTTAATAATTGCTAACAAGCAAGACCTTGATGTAAATCTCTTTTTTAGTGAATAATTTCTCTTAAATTAGCATGCATTCCCGGCTTCCGAAGTAAAGCAGGTCTTTCAGGATAGTGCTCATTTAATGGGATCTCGTGATTGTTCTATGCGTGGAGCATCTGCTCTTAAAGGGTAAATTTCCTTGATTACTTTTCCATTATTTGATTCCTCTTATAGTGACGGAGTTATTGATGCAATTCGGTGGATGGCAGATAAAATCAAGAAAAATTCCAACCAAAGGCCTCCAATTGCTGAATAAAGAGCTCCAAATCTGTATTATAATTATATATATATATATTTCATCTATAATATAGCATATTTGTAAATGTGTATGTGAGCATATATGTAAATGCAAAGCTTTAAACATTTATAGAAAAAAAGTTGGAAGAGACGGATAAGGAAAACACCTAGGAAGGATGGAGGAGAATTCTTTTAGGTGCATCTTTTAACTATTCGTGATCTTTCTGATCATCCAACGTTTTTATTAAGTTTTCTAACTTTGTTCTCCTCTTGGGATCCATCTGCAGCGTCCTAAAGTAAAAGATGAAAAAAAAAACAATTAAATCCAGAGAATTAGTCACGGCTCTCCGTAAATACTGTGACTTGAGCTGGTCCAGTTAGATTTTTTTTCTTGAGCAACTATCAAATAACATTCAAATAGCATCTGCGTTTTTAGAGTAGAGATAAATAGAAAACCAAAAAAAGCTTACTTGAGGTGTTGACCGAAACGTTTAAGACACGAAACAAGAGCCCAACGAAGAGTTGTATGAATGCGCCAGGGTAGATTAGCGTCCGACGCATATCGATAAGTTTGGGAAGATAGAGGCGAATTATCATTAACCATGGTTGTATGCTCCACAACTTGACGATATTTATTCACTTTCGTTGAGAGAAGACCTCCAGCAGGTGGTGTTAGACCAACAAGTTTGAAATGCACTTCGACAGCCTAGATGGCAACACACAAATATACACAGCAATGACTCCAATCTCTCAACCACTTGAATAAAATTAAGCTGCCATACCTCAATAAGTTCATCGATAACGCCGAGGATCTGACCGAGGGATTTCTGCACAGCACCCAAACGATCTTCAACGTAAGAGGAGAGAGTGAGGATGCCAATAACCTCAGTTGCCCAAATTACAGCCTGACCAGTTTGATGAGAACTTTCATCACAGGTCCATACACTGACAGCACGATTTGTTCCACCTGAACTGAATAACCTCCACGTTGATGCATAGGGGATTTCACGCATCAATAGGCGTATAAACGGTAATCGTAAAAGGGTTGCAGACATCTAGAAAGTAAATTGGAACAGTAAAACAATACCTTATTTAAGGCAGCATTGAGATATGTGCTAAATTTCTGGCGCTCAGAGCAACATTTCGAAAAAGAATTTTCCTCCACATGATAATAGTTGAATGGGCGCGAAAAAGCTAGAGAGAGGAAACAGAATTATTAATGCAAATTAAATGATAATTTTCAAGAAATCATCAAAGCGTACAAAGATAGGAAGGAGTGTGGGAGGTTAATTCCTTGTTCGCTTTGTTCAGACCTTCCAGAAAGACCTTTAAAGTTGCAAGACAACTGGAGCATAACTCTTCCCACAAAACAACTCTTCCGCCTTGAGAAATAAAGGCATCAAGTAAAAGCCCAATTTTTATCGATTATTTGTCGTTAATAAAACGGCGACTCACTGATATTAGTGAGGTTGAAGATTTGGTCTCTTGTCTTAGCGTCTTTGACAACCGTATCTGCAAGACGGCTCAGAAGAAGATGCTAAGGGATGCAATGATATTTCAAAGCGAGTCTTACATAAACCAGTCCATCAGATTTATTCGAAACTAGGAAATCGCCAACAGCAATTAAATGGCTATCATCGTTTTCTATTGGGGGTAAATTCACGGTTATAGAAGTTTCCACAATTAGTAGACCAGAACACCAAGTGGTGAAAATGAAAAGTCCAACAAGATAGAGTTCAATTAAAACTGAGAATTTCAATCCAGCTAGAAATCTATAAGACGAAAGATAAGCACACGTTTTTACTTACTGAAATTGAAAATCTCGTAGCAGTACTACATGGAAAGCCGCATAAAATAATAAGAAATAGATAATCCGACCGATTGTTCGAGCAGAGTTCTGTAAAATAGCATCTGTGAAGAAGGCAAAATGTGAAATCGTCTTGTTCTCGTAAGTCAGAGTAAGAAAATTTTCGGAGATAACAAACACCACGAAAGAAAAACCCAAAAATGCACCATATTCGAGAGTCCAAACATAATTATCTCTAAAAAATGGAGAATAAAAGAAAGCAGGCTTCAAACCTATAGCCAAGAAAATAGGAAACGGATAGAGCTTCCGCCATTCCAACCACAAGCATTGTAAGAGAGAACCGTAGACTCTGCTGGTCAAATAATATGTGCACCCAAGCATTACTTCTTTCAAATGCTACATCAGATGCTAAAAATGGTTAGGTTACGAATTAGCGTCAAACCTTTAAATTGACTATATATACGACCGATTGCAAAAATGAATAGACAGGTGTTGAGACTTAATATAAAAAGACTCCAAAGTCCATCCGTGGAAAGAAACGGAAAGTAGATCTTTAAATTCACGATGGAATATAAGCAAACCAAAAAGGACGCATTGCCTATTAATGCAACAACGAGTGCCGTTATATATCTCACTCGTATTTCCTAGATATCGGTTAAAATTAAAAGGACAACATACCTTCAACTGTTCATCCATCATACAACTATAATAAATGAAAAGAAAATTAATTGGAAGAGGACATAAAGAACTGATTTGGAAAAAAGAATTGTAAAGGCTTAAATGTATAAATGCTGTTTATTTAAGCAGAGTTTATGACACATATTTAATGAAAAATTATTTATGAATACTTTACAGTTCAAAAGTGAAACATTCAAAAACAAATAAAGCAGTGCACGAGCCTAACCAGCCGTTACTTCGGGGTAAACGGTGCCCAACCAGGTCACTCACTTAGTCCAAACAATGGAAATATTGCTAACCAGGTGTGAAATGAAAACAGAATATCGTTCACGTAAAAGACTTTTTAAGTTTTTAATGAGTTTTTTATACGCACAATTACTGGGGAATTTAGATGGTCAATACAGTGGGTCTTGTTAAATTCAGGTGAAAAATATAGATTATTTCTATTTACAAGAAAAGGTTAATTTTAAAAGAAATTAAAGATGACTTTTCAATGCAATAATTATAAACAATTATCGCTAACTTTATGATGAAGCATTGAAATTGTTTGAAATAAATTTGAGTGATTATTGTCATTCTAGCTTTGTTGTTTGCCCTCGGGATTTTTTTAAGTGCTAGTCTTCTTTGATTACTACCTATCGATATTTTTTCCTTCAATCCAGACGGGTTGGTTTTGCCACTTCATTTCTTTAACAATTGTTGAGAATATAAATTAACCTTAAGTAACTTCAACATCTTATTCACGGAGGATATGCTACCGTTTTAAGCTAATAGACTACCTCCAGCTGTGCTAACCCAATTCAAAAAACTATATATGCGCCATGAAACAATGTTAATATACAATATACTATCCCTACAGCGTAGTACAGGTTTGATAATAGCATTTGATGTACGAATGAACTAAACTTCTTTCCGTGGCTATAAGACCAAATGAATTATTAAATTATATTTGAAATTTGTACAGCAGATTGAGAAAAAAATTATAATTTGTATGAAGTTATAGAACAGCCCTTGTAATTGTGATTGGTCCATTTTAAATTTAGTTATCTCCTTTGCGTGAGTAAACATTAACGGCATTTTCTGCATATTTAAATGTAGCAGCATAGTAAGTTTGAACGAATCACCTAGAGTCGAAAATAGAAATTGGATTGAGAATTACGGACCTACTTTCATAACGTATAAGGCACACAGATTACAGTCCATTTTATCTATCAGTTACCGTCTACATGAATGGAAGTAATAAGAGGATAACATGAACTCAGGCTTAAAAAATAAAATCGTAAGATATTCTATGTACAGGCGAAAAGATTAAGTTAAATCTTGTTCTCGTTCTAATTCGGTTTGCTTTTATATTGTACACAATAAATGGTCATGAATATAATTCCTACAAAATTACGATTATTTTATATTATAACGTGTTTAAGGATAATATATTGAATTAAATGATGCCAATGTTAACATAAAGTTATTTCAGTCGCATTCGAATTCTGATTAAGTTTGTAGAGAACTTTTCGTTACGATCATTGTATTTTGACTAAATTCACTGTCTGTAACGCGTTCCCTTCATATTTTTTGCTTCTTCTTCTAAGGAAAATTTTTGAAGTATTGGTTCCAGATCAATTATTTGAATTTATGTTAACTGAGAAGGTAACAATGTCGCAACACTAAAAACGCAAGCTGAATGTACTATAGTCAAAATAAACCAACCAAAATACGGCGATTGCCATGGATTGTCCAGGTTTAAAATATTGACGATCATAAATTTTATTCCCGGGTTGAAATATTAAATAACACACTTCATGATGCCTTACGAAAAAATGGAGGAGATAGCAAACATATTATCTAGATTCATTTTATACGGAAACAAGATAAATAAATTAATTTTAAGTCGGGGAAAACCGGGGCACATTTATTGAAAAGGAAATAATAAAGTAGACATATGGCAGTCAGGCATATAAGACATATGAAATAATGAAAAACCAAAACAAAATAGAACTTATTTTTAAAATGGACATTATTTGGAAATAATAATTTGGCATTTTACGATATTTCAAGATTAAATGATTTATTTATCTATTTTTTCTTATTATTAAATTTTCAGTAATTTAGCATTAAAAATAAAACGAAGCAAAACAAGCGAATAAAATTTTTGGCTCTTTGTTTTTAAAAATAGTATTTTGTTGTTTTAGTTCATGATATTTTCTTGTGTTATATTCGATGCACGTTAGCGAACAAACTTCAAACTGTCACGTAGTTTTTTCGGCGTGTTTGCTGTCTTTTCGTTAAATGTATATTTTTGATTTCTTAATATGCTAATTTTTAATATTTTTTAGTTTTCATTAATTCATATGGAAGATAAGAAGATTAAAAGAACATCAAGTGCGGCCGCTCGTCGAAACAACAAAATTTCTAAAAGCAGAACTATGGCCTGCTTAAAAATTTCTCACGTGCCTAGACAATTTCAGGAAGAACAAATAAAGATGTATTTCGGCCAGTTTGGAACTGTCCACGGAGTTTACATCCCAAAGTCCAAGAAAACACTACGCCCGAAGAACATGGCTTTCGTTCTGGTGAGGAAGGAAATTGCGGAAATTATCGCTTCTACTGTTCACAACGTTCTTAACTTCAACAAAATTATGCAATGTAACAATTCTACAATGCTTAATTCTTTTTTAATTGCAGTTTTATTGAAGTTTTATTTTGTTTCAGGTGAGGTTCTAGATCATTTCTTCCCTAGTTGGTTCAGACGAACGCCTCAGACGGTTACCACAGTGGAAAAGGAAAAACTATTTCGTGCGCGAACTGCTATAAAAGGCTCAAAGAAAGTCACTAAACGTCGATTGAAGGATTTAAACTCTCGTATTCTGGCACTTAAAAAAGCCAACCCGAAATTTGAACTTGCCTTGCCTTCAGAAGATAGTCCCACTAAGTCTGCATCTTAATTGCCGCCTATTTGTTTTTTTTACTTTTGTGTATAAAGATCCATCATCAATCATTTGATATTTTATATTGGATCAAAATATAATTCACAGGTGTATTTTTAGATACAAAGAAGGAAAGGGAGGGGTAAGAAATAGCTGAACCGGAAAACGCACAGCCAAGGAAAGGAAAGTCAAAATGAGAAAACGGAGTGATCATTACTATTTGGTCCAGTAAACGCGGTAGTAGAGCATTTTGTTTCTCCAGTAGGAGTATGTGTTATCAAACTTTAGAATGTAAGTTCCGCTGTGCGCTGGATAGTTATGGGAACCGCAGTAAACTTCAATGTGGGATGTCCTTCTGTACATGGGTATGAGTTCTACAACAGCCGATTCTGACGGAGCTGAAACGGGACAATTTTATAAAAGTGAATAGGGCATATTAACTGAGGCTAAATGTACTAGTTTTAAAGGGATCGTTTTGAAAGATAATTTTTCCTGCCTTGTTTAGTGGTGGATGTATTGATTTGTGTTTTCGTCAGTACTCTAGGGTAAGAGAACTAAATGTGCATTTCACAACACCCTAGAAGCAAGGTCCTTTGCTGAGGGATCAACTCTCCTATATTAGAAACTACTTATTAGAGGACTTCCTTTTTAACTTAGTGGTAGGCAGGAAAGGCACTTTTTGCCCTACACAGGGAACAATATTGGCTTCACGCTAATGAAGTGAACCCTCTACATCACGTCGCGGGAGGTCACAGCACATATAGGTCGACTACTATTCACAGAGTCTTCATTACTCCATCTCCACCAAATCGGACATGAAAACCGATTAACATTAATAGTATTAACTGGGTTAATCGTAACTAAAAAAATATAACAATGAAGTAGCACTTATTTTTTTATAAGTGCCTACGAAGGAAAACGATTCTGCCTATTCTCCCTTGGGGGTTATTAATAAAAGCGGATAAATACCAGAGGGACATACCGCCAGAGCCTTCAGGAGGTTGGGACGATCCTTGAATGTAATTCCACAGCCTATCGGGCGCATCAGTATTGGGAGGAGTTAGTTGAACCTCATTAACCACCTCTTTTCCACTCTTCTCCTTAGCCTCCGGAGCCCATTCAAAGCTCAAACCAAATCCGATATCATAGTCATCAGTAGCGAATTCCCAAACCAGGACATTGCCATTTGAATCAATGGGAAAGCGAATCTAAGACGAAGGGGTGGGGGTGGGGAGAAGAGGAGGAAGAAAAGAGTCATTTTTAGAACGAATAAGGAGTGGAACGAGGCTGTGAAATAACTTACTGTGACAAATTCCCCACTGCCAATATTAAGCACAGAGTTTGAATCTTTGGAAAGGAGAGCCTTGAATTCGACAATGTCCTTTCGTGTCCACATCTGAGGCACTGCAATATTGTCGTCTCCATCGGGTATACAAGGCACCAAATCTCCATTTAAGTGCTCCTTATGGACATCTATTGAGATGAGAAAACAATAAAATTAATCAGATTTTAGGAACCGCAAAAGTTCTCTTTAGACATCTGAATGGATAGATTTAATTTATCCTTTCTGCTGTTAAGAAAGAGAATATTATTTAAATAAGAAATTCATCCCTAAAATAATGACAGTAATATTCAATTTGAGGTGTTCTTGCGTAAAACGCAGATTTGATTTTACTGATAATTAAGCAGCAAACAAAGCATCCCATTTTTGATTGACCAGATTGGGCTATCGGATCACCTCCTTATTCATCTAAATAGGACTGGTGATCGAAATCAGCAGTGAATTCAATTAACCTCCAAGAGAGTGTTTTAGCGTTAGCAACTTAAATGATAAAGTCCTACACGCAGGAATCACATCAGGAACCAACCCAATCCACAACTGTCCTAATTCATTTCCAAAACAAGACTCGTCCAATTGTATTTCGTCTCCTCACACAATAACGCTGTGTACATAGTCAAATGAGAAACAGCCTGAGGATTCCATGAACATTCATAACTCTGAACAGGCGACTTTAACCGACCACGAAGGACGATGATTCCGTAAATGAATCTTAACTTTATTAGAACATTAAGGAAGGCATGATATGAAAAACGTGACATGGAAATTGCCAGTAAAAAATAACACAACAAAATGCACGGAGATATCTAAAATCTATTCGATGGGAATATAACAATTTTTAATATTTTCACAATTATCAGAGCCTCACAATCTGGATGATGTGTAGGGAAAATGGATAAATTTTCACTTCGTCAAACAATCCGACTTACCATTACTTTCGTTATCGCCTGACTTTTGAGTAGTAGGTTCTTGTGTGGACTTTTTGGTCTAAAAAAGGGGAAAAATGTGCTTGTAAACACCAATAATGTGATTTTCTCCAACCAAAGTATCACACAGGTTAAACCCTCGATAACAGCGCAATATAACCTGAACTGCCATTAAGAGCCAGAGAACCAATTTTCCAGGAGTACAAATTAGCCAATAACATAACATCCNCCCCCCCCCCCCCCCCCCCCAACCCGAAAAAATGTACCTCCAAATCAAGTGAAAACACTGGAGGAGGTCTTTAAAATTGTGCCGACATGAAACATCACTGGAGCGCGTGATTTTAACTAACACCTGTAATCCTCTAAATGTTAGGCGATTGACTATGTGATGGATCAAAACGAGCAGAGGAGATATGCAAGCCATTCCCCNNNCCCCCCACCTGAGTTAAAAAAAGTGCGAAGAAGAATCCATGTCATCCGGATTGACTTTTTATTCAAATACAATTCTGAGAGGCGGTTTCGCGTATGCAATTTTTTGTGAACTTGCAGAAGCAGCACTTCTATTCGCTTCTATTCTATTCTATTCGGAACTTTTCCGACTCACTGATCACAAGGCTGTCACATTAGCACTCCTGATGTATGCAATTTTCCTCTACCTCCAACTCTCCTCATCTTGTGGCAGTGCATTCGAAGGAACGGCAAAGAGTTTACCAGAAAATATTTTATTTCCTCCAAAAGCCAGAGTCCCATTTTAATTAAAAACAACTCTTTTCCACCAAGAGTCTACCAATATTAACTGTGCAGACTATAATTTAATAATGGCCAAGGTGCATAAAAGTAATCAATAATATTTACAAACACGACCCAATTAAAAAAGACAAATTCAATTGATCAGACATACCGAGTTCATTTCAACAGTCTCGTATTTTGGAGGCGGAAGCAATGACTGTTCAGTCTTCTCCACGGGAAGAGAAGAAGAGGAAGCATTGTTCATCTTTGAGGTAGTTGAGGAAGGTGAGAAGCCAACGGCGGTAGCATTCTCATTTACGTAAATCATGTATTGATGAAAATGACGATCTTGAAGTTGAGCAATAAGTTCGGTTTGCTAGATGAATAAAAAAGAAGACAATTAACAATGAAGACTTTGAGGAATTCTCCACAATGGAAGTGATAAAACAGAGATGATCACCTTCTCTTCACTGTCCGGGTAGTATTGAGCGGCGTAGGCGCGGAACTGCTCCAAGGTTTGAGCATTGAGGGCTTTACGGATAGAAGCTCTAAAATGATATTTTGAAAAAAAATCTATCAAAGTTGTTCCTCGGATTAAGAAAAAACGTCATTATACTCAATGAATAGATTAAAAAACCAAGGATAAACCTTGAAATGCCAAATAGGTTTCCAATGAGGGGTGTGCGATAGACCTACATCCACGTGGTGCACCCTGGGCAACGTATACTCAATCGGCAAAAGGGTCATTTTCACAGTACTCACTTCACCTTTTTTTCTACCTTTGTGTCTGCCTCTTTTACATCTTTGAACTCTTTTTTCTACCTTTGTGTCTGCCTCTTTTACATCTTTGAAACGTTCTTCTGTTCCTCCCCCACCCCTCTCGACTTTTTTCACTTTGATGTTCCTTCCCCTTTGTGAAGCCTGAAGTCAGCCAAAGGGCTAATGATAACTATCAAAACGCCCACCATTTGATATAAATAAAGGTTTCCAATGCAAAAGCAAGCGTATATTAAACTAACGTTTTTAGATCCAAATTCACACACACTGGCTTTTCCTCGCCTTATAACACATGCGCAGAGGTCTATATATCCTTAAAGCCTATTTTGGTCAGTAAGTAAAGAAACACAGAGCTGGCGTGAACATGAAAAAAATAGGCATGGGAAAGTGTGATTTCATAGAAATATTTCATTTTCAAGGGTGTAATACGAATAGTAGAGAAGTACCGGGATAAATATGCCTATCTATGTTGCAATACACTTCAACGATAGGCTTCTATGACAGAACCATTTTCGAGTGATTTCCAATTAATTTCACTGTTACATCAATTTCCTAATTATGCATACCACAGTAAAGCTCATTTAAAGCTAAAAATAAGGACATCGATCAAATCTAAGCACAATTTCAATTAAGAGAGCATGAGGATGACGCAATTTTCTATAATTTCTCTGTTAAAGAGGAGAAGATATTGATTCCGAATTGGCGAAATAAAGCTAGACCCAACAGTAAACAACCATCCCTTTATCATTGGTTATTTTGGCACCCACTTTACCACTTGTGACGTGTTGCAACACTGTTAATTTAACATTAACTTATCAATGTCTACATTTGTGTCTGTCTCTTTTACATCTTTGAATCACTCTACTGTTCCCCCCTCCCCCTCGACATTTTTTCACTTTGATGTTCCTTCCCCCCTGTGAAGTCTGAAGTCAACTAAAGGGCTAATGATAACTACCAAAACGCCTGCCATTTGATATAAATAAATAAATAGCTTATCGATAGCCGCCACATGGTACAACCTGAAAGACGTATAATCATACGGCAAAAAAGTCTATTAACCGGCAGT